ATCTGGTCCTGTGTCTGTGGATGTTTCACTCTATAATTAAGACAGATTCTTTCACCGGTATTTTTAATTTATTTGCTCTTAACTATGCTATTTTATCTTCTTCCTAGACAGCTTTAAACTAGTGACAGCAGCCACTTGACGTGTATTAAATCTAATGATGGTTAAAATTAGGCATGTTTGAGTGTTTTTGGTCTTTGAAACAAAATTCATTATATTTGCACTTTCTCTTGTTGCAAAAACATGAGCTCCTTGCAGACAGATGGTTTTCCAGGTGATAAACATTTGGGAAGACTGGCTTTAGCAGCAAGCCTTCAGTGTGTCTATAAAACTGACTTTTGACTGTTGCACTCCCTGATCTCTAACTCGCTCATAGGGTGTTTGGTCCTGGGAAAGGAGAATAAAGATGAGCTAAACTTAAACAGCTTACAGTGTACAGCATTTCAGCAACTGCTGTGGTTTGACTTTAAAGCTGCTTAGGGAAACTCATGGGAGTCACACCCAGATGTTGGATTTATGTGCTTTATCCTGTAGCATTTTGGGTTGACAGCTGCTGGAAGGGCACCCTGAGTAAGTGAAGCGCTTTGGCCGTAGCCTGTGATAGTCTGATGTGGTGCTTGAGTAAAGTGGTACCTGAGAGGTGATCAACTAAGGAAAATGTCTCAAGTTTAAACCAGAAGTGGCTGGACTGGGTTGAACCAATTTTGCTCCTGGTGCTTTTCTACACAACTGGCATGTTTGCTTCCTGTGATGCTGCTGAAGCTGGTGACTTATTATAGCTCCAAGGTCTCCTTCTTGAGTAATAAAAGTTAGCAAAAGGTTCATCACTGGGTATGTAAGACTAAGATTATTTTTCCTTGTATGTGTTTCTTTGTTGACATCCACAATGGATTTATCTGCTGCTTGGAACTCACTCAACAATATGAGATTCTTTTTCTGCAACATTTGCAGTTAGATTTTAGTTTTACTACACTGAAAAACTGGGATTTAGCAGCAAATTCCCTGCTTTTGCTCTGCCCAGCCCACTTTCAATATTCTTGCAGCATAATTTACTCTCTGCTATTCTATTGCTTCTGTGATTATCTTAATTTCACCACACTTCTGATGTGCCTAGATCAGTGTCCTGAACTGCAGGAGGAAGATTTGTGCCTGTGGTTGCTGTGACTCTGTGAGTGGGAATTGGGCAGAGAGTGGGTGCTGCATCAGTCCCTGCTGTGGTTGCCTACCCATCCAGGCAGGTTTTGGACAGAGGGGTGCCCAGTGTGGTGAGCAGCTGCTCTCTGCTTTGCTGCTTGGACCATGGGACCTGTGGCTTGAAGAAAATGGATAGAGTATTTAAAAAAATAAGTCTAAGGAAGTTGATAAACAAAACTTCATCTTGAAATGAGAGATTGTGTTATTTTGCCTCCTAAAGGCTGATATGAGACAATTCAGTATTTGGGAAAATGTTAAAAAAAAATTTAAATAAATCCAGAAGGGTTCTTAAATTTCTGGGTGGATTTGCAAATACTTTGGGTAAACACAAATGTCATCCTTTTCTGGCAAAAACACTATCAAGCTGAACACATTGCCTGGCCCCAGCTGCAGCCTGCTGCCTGTTCCAGCCACCAGAGTGGGTACCCAGCCTTTCCCAGCTGGTAAGAGCACCTCAGGGGCTGGCATCTCTGCCCTGGCCCTTTCTGGACCTCCTGCCATGGTGTATTTGCAGCTGCACTTTCCTTGACTCTTCAGGCATTGCTAAATGCTCCCTGGCTTCAGTTGGCCAAAAAAAATGGTGTTTTGGCTACCTGGTGTTCAGCTGGTGAAATCCAGTTTGTGGGGCACTGAATGGGGGGATTTAAGAGTTCAGGATGATGAAAGAGCTCTTGGTCTCACCTCAGGGAACAAAGAGCTAGCAAATAGGATGCAGGTGTAGGGCCACGGGCTGGGATATGCAAGCACGTGGCCATGTGAACACACACATTCCTTTCACACTGGTTTCTAAATTAGTATATGTAGAAAGCAGCTCTTGGATCTTTGATGATAGGTTTCTGCAAGGAGGAATAAATAGGGTGCAATGATTATTTTATAGCTGTTGTTAACCAAGCAATTCATCTGTGTCTTGGAGGAGGCAGTTGCTTCTTTGGACCTCACTGATTGCTCAGGCAGTATTATGTTCAGCCAGCTCTGGTGGTTGAGGTGCTGGTTGGGGTTAGGGAGAGGACCACCTG